TTTCATCTCTATTTCATGTAGGCAACGTTAGTTTTAGTTATACTATTCTTAGAATTGATAGAAGCAGATGAATACCGTTGTGCAATGCATATCATGAATTTCTCTTTCAATTGGCTGAAGGAGTGGAGATACTTGAAGAAGGATCTTATCATTTGAATTCAAATCTCTTTGCTTTTATACTAGTGTCTGCGATTCTCTGGTTTGCTAATTATCTGTGTAGACATGATTGTCGAATAAAGGAAATTACGGGCAAACGGAGAATACCACCATGTTTACTTTTGTTTCTAGACAATGAGCTCAGCTGATGCTTCCTAACAGGATCCTGAAAGAATGTCACTTCGCAAATATTTCACTGATGTAAGCTAAGTCTCAGTCATCCATTGTGGTCAAGGGGATGAAAATAGGAGCCAATTGCATGAATGCGGTTGTTTAAAAATGAGAAAGGTGTGCATGGTCTTGCTGAAGGCATGAAATCGATTACCTAATTGATCATAGAAGGTACACGGTAGACTGGGGCAGAGAAAAGACTAGGAACCATGCTTTGCATCTTTAAGATACCATCGTATGTGTCAGTTCATCAAGCATTTCCTTTACTTCTGTAGAACTATGGACTCATTTAGCGTTTTCATTTTACTCGTCCTCTTTATGAATGCTTTTATGACCTTTACAAGTGAGGCCAAGGTTTACATGGTTTTACTGGACAAAGCTTCTGGTGGCTCCTCCAAGAACACAAAATTATTGTTGAGGTACCAAATGATCTGCTCAAAAGCATAGACAAGAAATCTCTTTCTTTTCATTTTTCTTTCTGTTGCTAGTTATGGGATGTTCTGCTTCACTTCTTAGTCAAATCATCTGCTGAACTTCATGGTAGGAATCAGAAAAAAATAGCCAGTTTCAAAGAGAAGATGGCACAAGAGCATGACGCTTTCCTTGAATCTCTGTTATCCAGAAGTGCCTATACGAAACTGTACAGCTACACCCATCTCCTCAATGGATTTGCGATCGAGGTGTCATCTAAGGAGGTCTGTAATCTGAGGCCATAGCTGAGTTTGGATAGGCATGCTTTTATGTGTGTATATATATATATATATATTAATAGTATGTATACTTAATACATATAGATGGGACACTCTTGCTCTACCATTTCTTATTCAGCAAGACATACGTACATCATGTTCAATTGTTTTGATGACTATGTGATATATGCGAACCATGAATGCAGATGTGTGAAGAAGAGCAGTCGTATCATCTGTTTATGTGGAAATTTGAAACTATGCTGCCAATAGAAAAAGCTGTTCATTATGGGATAGAATAATTGCATTAATTTTATTTTTTTTTGGTTTTGTTTGACATGACTTGCTCAATAATTCAATACTAAAACATGTAAATATTCCCTAGGACATTGACACCCTACGGAATGCTGAAGGAGTTAGGACAATCCATGAAGATGTGAAAATGGAGAAGATGACAACACATACGCCTGACTTTTTAGGGATTCCTACTGGGGTTTGGCCAACACTTGGAGGAGCTCGGACATCAGGGGATGGAGTGGTGATAGGTTTCATTGACACGGGGATAAATCCTTTCCATCCAAGCTTCATGATTCAATCATCAACAGATACGAGTAGGGGAATATATTCAAAACCTACAAAATATAAAGGGAAATGTGCATCTGGGGAGCAATTCCCTCCAACAGCATGCAATGGTAAGATAGTAGGGGCGCAATATTTTGCAAGAGCTGCAGTTGCTGCCGGTGAATTCAATGCTACCCGTGACTATGCCTCCCCTTTTGATGCTGATGGTCATGGGAGGCAAGTACTACAATAGAGGATTATCTGCATATTTATTGGATCTTGACATGATTTTTACTTAAAGTCATTATTTTTTGCTCAAGCAGAATCTGTTACTAGGTGCATATTTCGGGTTTCTAATATTTGAATTGTCCAGTTATATAACAATACTAGTCCTGTACTCTTAACTCATTGGAAATGGTGCAAATTAAGCAGCCATACAGCTGCAACAGCAGCAGGAAACCACCAAATTCCTGTAATAGCAAATGACTTCAATTATGGTTATGCCAGTGGCATGGCTCCAGGAGCCAGGTAAAAAATATCTGCTTTGATACAGTTCTCTTATAAAAATTTTGAAAGAAAGGAAATCCTAAAGGTTCCCTTTTATTCAAATTCTATAAATGTATATGTAATATGCAAGTCTTCTCTTTTGCTTATACAGGATTGCTATTTATAAAGCTCTGTATGCTTTTGGAGGGTATATGTCTGATGTTGTGGCTGCTGTTGATCAGGTTTCTACTTTAGGAGTCAATGCACATGAAGAAATTCTTATAGATAATTGATTTGTTTCTCAATTAATTTGACATGGAACTTTGATCAAACAACTTTAAAGTAACTTGTAATGTTATTGTCTTGTGCAGGCTGTGGAAGATGGAGTTGACATACTGAATCTTTCTATAGGGCCATCAAAAGTGCCATCTGGACCTTCTGCTTTTCTGAACCTGTTAGAGATGGAGCTTTTATTTGCCACAAAAGCTGGTGTTCTTGTTGTTCAAGCTGCTGGAAATGGAGGGCCTTCTTCCAGTTCTATGCTTTCTTTTAGCCCATGGATCACAAGTGTCGCTGCCTCTATAACTGATCGCAGATACAACTCATCAGTTAGGTTGGGCAATGGACAAAGCTTTTCTGGCACAGGACTTGCACGTAGGTTTGTTGTTAATGGTTAATGTTGTGTATTTGCTTGTCTACACTATCTAAAATGATGAATCTTTACTATTGCATCCTCTAGCAATTTTAACAAGGAGATGTGCTCACTGATTTTCATGTTAGCAGCTCCAACAGTTGGAGAAGTGTTCTTCCCTCTAGCTGCAGCAGCAGATGTTGGGCAAATAAACTCCACTGATGGTCTTCTGACGATTGATAGCTGTCAAAGCTCGGAGCAATTTGTCCACTCCTTAGTTCAGGGGAAGATAGTTATTTGCACATATACACTTGATTTCGACTCTGAGGCATCTAGTATTGCTACAGTTGCAGACACCATGAGTAAAGTTGGCGCTGCTGGCTTCATACTAACAAGGAACCCTGATATTGGTTTTGAGCAGATTAAGGGTGCTGCAGTAACCTTACAAGTTCCTGGAGTCATCTTGAACAATATGGAAGCCTCTTCGGTACTTCAATCAACATTTGTTTATAATACTGAAGTATACTTTCTGTACTTGTATGGAAAACGTTTCGTTACTCTAGCATCTGACAACTCACAAGCGTAAAGGATGATCCGACATACATTAAAGCCCAGTTTATTGCATAAAATTGCATTTCTTATCATTGTAATGCATCTGATTTTAAATGAAGACCTTCTTCCATTCTCAAAAATTTTTAGATGGAATTGAATCTGTTGACATATATTTTACAAGAAGAAAAGGAAAACATATTCTTTCTTCTCTTGCAATGTGTGAGTCAATCCGGGACTTATTTGTTTACTGAAGTAATTTGGCAATAGTGAATTTATGATTTGCAGAAGTTGTATAAAGACATCTTGTATTACAGGCACTCTGGGAGTACTACAATGCAAATACAATAAGAAGCAGAAATGGAAGAGCCATTGGCTTCAGAGCCACAGCAAGAATTTTGGATGGGAGGCGAGCAATTTACACAGGGCAGGCTCCAATAGTGGCATCATATTCATCAAGAGGACCTGATGTCAATAATGAACTCTTAGAGAATGCTGATGTCCTCAAACCAAATATCATGGCTCCGGGCTCCTCAATATGGGCTGCCTGGAGCCCAAACAGTGAAGGAGATGTTCACATCAAAGGTATGCAGAAGTCCAGTATTCTCAACTCTTTTAGCTAAGTTCGAAGCTGAAACTAGGTAATGGACAGCCTACTTATTTCAGATAAAAACTTGTAACCAATGGTTTAACTTGTATAATATGCCTTCCTTTCATTTATTAAAACACACCTGGCAATTAGAACTGCAAAATGGTATAGATAAACAGGCAACCTAATTTGGTCTATGTAAACTAGTCTTTTAACAAGACACGTGACATGCTACAATTGTGATCCTCTTTCCAGGTCAAAATTTTGCACTATTGTCCGGGACAAGCATGGCTACTCCACATATTGCTGGTATTGCAGCTCTAATTAAGCAAAAACACCCACACTGGAATCCTTCAGCTATTATATCAGCAATGACGACAACAGCGGATATAGCTGATCAAACAGGTGCTCCTATACTAGCCCAAAAAACCAATCGGATATCTGCTGCAACCCCCTTTGACTTCGGAGGTGGTGCTATCAACCCCTCTCGAGCAATTGATCCTGGACTTGTTTTCAACATCAACTTCATGCAATATGTAAAGTTTTTATGCTCAGTTCCAGGCGTTGATGACATGTCTGTTAGACAAACAGTTGGCGTTTCATGTCCAATTCAGAAGACATGGTGCTCAGATCTGAATACACCGAGTGTTACAGTTTCCAAGTTGATTGGATCAAGGAGGATTCTCAGAAAGGTAACTAATGTTGGTAATGCAGATGAGAAGTATATGCTGATAGTAAAAGAGCCTTTAGGGGTGAAAGTTACAGTGATACCACAGGTTTTTAAGATCAGTGTCAATGCTTCAAGACGTATTACAATTCAGTTTAATGCAACTGAGGCAACAAATGCTTACACATTTGGTGAAATACTGATGCTGGGAGAAAAGAAGCATGTTGTAAGAGTGCCTATGGCTGTCTATGTAAGTAGCACTATAGGATGATGAAGTCAATCCCCTTATACACATAGTATTAGGAAAATTATTACCTCAAAAGCCAATTATCCAATTCCCTTTATCCTTTAGTACCAGTTAACCATTCTGACTGTCCTTTCCTTACAATGAATAAGATTGTAAGAACATTCCTGTTAGACTGTGTTTTAATGCTTATCAGCAAAATGTATCTCAGATGCAGAACTTTTCACTTTCTGTAATCAATTGAATTCTGGGAACGAGAGTACAAGAAAATTGTGTAAAATTTCATTCATCCAAATTGAAATTATTGGATCGAACTATTACAGATCAAGCTTCTATAACGCTGTACCTTCCCATTAAACCCCTCCCTCACAATCCATGAGGGGTTAAATAAAAATGAATGGTCTGGATTGGAGGAGGTAGAAAGAGTCATACATCGACGTTGGGAGGAGAAATATCACAAAGCAAGAAAAGAACACTTTTGAGAATAGATATTTATTGAAAGCTACAATTGACACTTCCATTGCTGAAGAATATTTCTAGCGACGTTTCCGTAGTGTTGCAAACATTTTTGACGTAAAACCCTTTCTCCTGTTCACCTGTAACCGGAAGGCACTGAGAAAGTGAGGCTTAGTCCTCACATTTTGGGGAAATCCTATAATTTGCCGAACAATAATCTATTGCCCAAGTGAGCAACTTCTGTTTACCTTCTAAGTTGAATATAGAGTTATAGACAACCATGGGTGGATATTAACAGCTCAATATTTTCCAGAATTCCAAATGCCAACTTCCCAAAATTCGATGGCTTTTAAGAAACTAACAAGCTGATAAAATGTTCCTTTGATGGTCAAATACCTGAAAGCTCTTCATAATAGCTTTTATCTTGGTAGCCGTGGATCGATTGTTTGTTCTCTTCCTTTTGTTCTTTGGTTTCTTGTTGTGCGGCATCAACAACGATCTAAAAAAGCCAGGTACCAGCAATTTCCAGTTTCCCATGCAAGTTGGAGTTACTGCATGTCTTCTCATCTTTTGAACAGCAATCATCTGTCAAGAAATCACAATGGTTGACATTTATATCTCCACCTATATGTACATAAATGGAACTCAAAGAGCTTCTAACGAGATAAGATACAAAATACCACTGGGGAAGTGACAGATGGTTGCAGCTTAGTTGATTTTTAGTGATAACCTGCCATTTCAAGGATTACGTGATAGAAATTTGAAAAAGAAAATGCTAGTGAAAGAAAGTAGTTTGTCATGGAAATTAGTATAAGAATTACACTCTCTATCATGCATTTCTTGGAAGATTATACGTTTGCCATCTGGAAATAATTAAAGATTATCATGAGATCTCAGTATCCACCTGTCTTTCTTTTTAAAGAACCTTCCCTATACTTTTCTAGAAACAGTCTTTGGCTTTATCAACTCCAAGAATGCTGTCTTTTTACATCTTTTTTTGGAGCTTGATGTTTCCTATGCTTTAGCAGCATGATGATTGAATAAAATTAAAGTTTCACGTGTCACCTGAGTCATAGGTTGTCGGTGGTGGTTATGATTGGCAACAGGCTTTGGATGCAACAAGGGAGAAGATGCCTGAGATCGAGCCGATTCTCTAAGTTGCCTTGAGTACTCGAGAAGCTGAGCTTTCCTATTGTATCCTCTAGTATTACAATCCTGATGAAGGTGAAGGTGTTGGTGATGATGATGATGGTGCTGAGGCTGGCGGCTATTTGATAACAATCTTCTCCTTGATCTAGGCCTCTCTACATATACTGCCACCCAAACTCCTTTCTGTCTGCCAAATGTTGCCTACAGAAATTGTAGTGCAAAACATGATCAAAAGATTCTCATTGCAACATCTCAGAGAATTAGATTCATGATGAAAAAATAAAAAGAAGGGATCATATAACTTACCATAGAGAGATGGGATAGGAGGATCGGAGGAATGGTTTGATGAAGAAATTATGCTTTGTAGGAAGAGATGGTGCAAAGAATGAGAAATAAGAATTGGATTATATGGAAAAACCCTGCAGGCCTAGTGATAATGCCAACCTAATTGATTCATATCTAACCGAATGCAGATGTTTCTTTATCTGTTCCTCCAAACATGAGAGCCAAACTTTAATAGAAAACGTTTGAAATCAGAAAACTTTAATAGAAAGTTGAAGCATATAAAGAAAGTGGAATCAACGAAAGCAACCCTAAAACAAGAGGATGAATATTTTTTAAATGCGAATATTTGACCTGCTCAATATTTGCTACCATATTATATTTGTGCTTTTGTTGCCAATCATCATTAGCAAACTCCACACGTCATTTTGTTGTTGTCAGACAAATCACCTCCAGCAACATTGTTGCCCCTCACCTGTAAATTTTTTATTGCATATATTTTAAGTTACTGGAATGAAAATTGACACCTTATTTCTACTAATCCCATGTTACTAGAATTTATTGCCAAATATTTGGAAAAGAAGAAAAAGAAGTTCAAGAATTTGATTTCTCTTGACCACAGTTGGACCCTCTTTACACATGATCATGATTATTTTTGGATGAACTCTGAACTTCAATATGCAATGCTGGTATTACGAGGTCTCTCTGCCGACAAAATTATGTGATTGAACATCACATCTCTTACCAAGAACTTTGAATTAGATCATCTGCCTGATCTATTCTCGAAAATAAAATTTGAAGTATCTTGTCTAACATATTGTGTGTTAAATTCCTTTCAAGCCTTTAAACACACACAATTCTTTTCCTTTCAATGCAAGATTATCAAGGATAGAGATAGAGAAAGATTTCTACTCATGACTGTGCATAGTGTTCCTTCTAAAGGGTTGTAATATTACATGCCACCATTATTTTACCTTTTCACCTGCATTGATGATTTGGATGGCAAGTCACCTTTCAACATATAGAAAACTTTTGTATTGCCTATGAATATGAAGTATAGACTTTAGTTTTTGTTTGGAAATATAGGTAAAATGCTATTCTCATTTTGTGCAAGGGGCTGAAACTCCATCACATCTTACCAAATGTTGAAAATTAAGTGAGTTTTTGTGTATTCTAGAGGGAACTGTTGATGGCATTCCTCTTGAATTACAACTCCATAAAAACGGAATGCCATTGACATTTCTGTTTTCTAAAATGCTCCACCCAAATTTTTTGGAACCATTTCAAAAATTATTTGCCGACACCAACATTTTTGCTTTCAAACATGAAAAATATTCTTTATACATATTACTGTTTAATTTAACTAAAAATTTTTAAACAACCCTTTGGCAACATGATAAAATGATAAATGCATGGTCAAAAAATTGAGGAAACAGGAAAAGTTAGGCATCCGCCTGGTGGATAAGCGACCATTACAATTGCCGGCGGAACTTTACTGTGCCCTTCAAGGGTTGGGTGTATTTTTTTTTTTTTTTTGGAATTCAATGGCTGTGATTGAATTTGGTAGTAAATCCCAGATTTGAGTAAGCACTCTTTACTTCTCCATATTAGGATTAAGATTAGAGGTCACAATCTGACAGGTTTTGAGGCGTTTCAAGCCAAGATATAGTGAAGGATTAACTCGCTAAAAATAAAAATGTTACACAATGAGAATATCAAGGTTCTTATATTGGGAAAGTGCAGCAATTTTTAGACATTACAGATTACCTACAACAAAATGGGGAGAACAGAACTTCGGTTCTCCATCAGCACATAAAGACGCAAAATGCCGGACAAAAGCGATGCCAAAAGGAGAAAGCTATCAGACACATCAACTAGTCTTTCATAGAACTGCTTGAGGTCTCATCTTGCCAAGTTGCTTGCCATTGCTTGTCATAGAATGTTGATTCTTCCAGTAGCCTTTTAACTGTTTCTATGTCCTCATTCTTTCGGATCACAAGAACACCAACTACAGCTACAAATAACAATGTTTTGCAGAAGAAATTGCCCATTTGGTCGACAAGTCCTACCCCTGTTAAACTATCCACCAGGTAAGCCATAAAGAAACCAATCATTGCCGCACGACCTGCAAGAATTTTGTACAGCACCATCAGTTATAAGTACAGTCAACTAGTATGCTTTGATTTCTGTGTAATTATCAAAACTCAGAAGATAGGTGTACAATGGAGACTAATCACCATTAAGCAGTTCAGCTTCAGGAAGATGGTACCGCTTAATCCATGCCCACCACGGAATAATGGAAGTATCAAAAACTATAGGGTTATCATTGTTTGATGATTCTGGGTTATCTTGTAGCCATTTTCTTCTCCTAGCCTCTGCAGAAGATTAGTAAAACAATTTGAAGAAGAACACGGAGCAAAAGAACCCCAGCAGGTGCTACCATAAAAGTAGGAAAATATTTCCTTCCCTTTGAGACTACATGGAGCAAAAGTTGGTTGGAGGATACACCAAATAAAGTGAAATGTCAACAGCTCACACATATATCATGGACCTCTTGCGGTTGAAAAAGTAGATTAACTTGTATAGGAAAAAAGAAGTTAAATAAAAACATTTGATTTGCAACCTGTAACCAGGTAAATCAAAAGCATGACTTTAAAGTGGAAAACACGTCCAAACTTTGTTTCTTTTTCTTGCAAAGACAGTACTGTATACAAAAGCTGGTTAGAATTATTTATGATGATCTTGTAAAACATCCAAATAGTCAAACACTGCAAAGAATTCGCCAAATGTAGACTCAAAGAAAAAAAAAAAAAAGCATTGCCCACAGTACCAGGGTTCATTTGGTTGGCAGATTCGATGATTTTCCTTGTGCTCTTAAGAAAGTGCATTTGTAACTTGATATGAGAAAAAAGTGCGGCACTTTAGAATAGCCCACTAAAGCATTATACAAGCTATCTTTCAAATATTTGTCACGTCCACGGTTACCTGCTAATAATTAAAATTTGTTAAAAGCATGTTAATGCATTTGCACATAGGAGATCATATCTTCTTCTCACAGATCAATTTCTTTTTCCTCATCCAAGCTTATTTCTCATAGGGCATCCATAAGTATATAAAATTTCTCAAGACAGAATGGATTGAAAAATGGCAATCATAATACCAGCACCAAGCGAGATTGCACTCAAACCATGAATATTTTTTTTTGAAAGGTAGTCTTTCTCATTATCCAATAGCAAACAAAAAGAATGCAAGAGGAAGAAATCCTGACATCTTGAGCTTCAAAGTTTTACCACTTTAAATCTTCAAAAACTAGGCAAGATGCAGTGAAAACAATGGTCCTTTACCTCATTCCCCCTAGAAAACTTTGGTCATTTTACCTCATTCCCCCTTATTGCTCTGTTATCTTTCTATACCACGTAATATACATGGAGATTTCCACTGTATTAAGTTATAAAACGTACATCATAATTATCATAAATGCACCAGAATATTTTCAGGATAAAATTGCAAAGAATGATACTTTTGTTAGTATACTTCACAAAATTGCCATCTTCTCTACACGCACTTTGGCAGGATATAACTTTGAAAAACAACATCACATTACTTCATCTTAATTTATCGTATGAACCAGAATAGTAACTGAATTAGTGAAGCTATTTCCTCGGATGATCACAGAAAATTCAAATGACCAAATACAAATATTTTGTCTACGGGTTCAATTCTGTAATTGCCTGTATGACCTGTCCGCTAAAAATGCATCATATAAACTCAGACTAAAGCAAACATCCAAAAACTAATAGTACAATTCTTAAATTCATTTGTTCTATTTTCTACTATATAAAACTAACACATTTTCTACATCCAACAAGAAACAACCTCCCAAATTCAACATTTGTTAGACAGAGAATCATTTATAAAACTCATAAGAAAAATCAATTGATAATTATCATCAGCCAAGCACCCCTGCCTGCAAAAACACACATTTGAGGTAAGAAATTCACCAGCATCAATTACAGCATCCCAATCAGTTTTCCCATCTTTCTGAAATTGGGTTAAGTCCCAAGTCCCACCAATCCATCTGGGGTCTTGAAAAGCAGTCACCGGCGCCGGAGCAGCGGCTGCATCCACTGCCACCGACCCATTGGACCCCAAAGACTCCTCCTTTTTATCCTCAGAAACCTTCTCTTCAGCAGCAGCAGCCTTATCCTCCTCTACAATTGCAGCAGTAGAAGTTGAACCAGCTCCATTTTCAGCAAATACCCAAAAAGGGGGCTGCTTTTTGGGTCTCCAAGAGATAAAATGCCTCAGGGCCAATTGGGTTTTGGCAGTAGAATGTGGTGAGGAGGGAGATGGAAGGTGGGTTGCGGGCGGAGATGAGAATAAGGCGATGGACATTGTTAATAACGATGAACAGAACGGTGGAAGCAAGTTTTGCAGAGGGAAATGGGAAAAGGGGATAGTTGTGAGTTCAGAACATTGTGATCTATGGGATATCCTTAGCCGCAGAATTTTGGGAGTTTTATATCTTGGCTTTTGCTACCAGCTGGTAGCAGTAGTATTTCCTTTCCTACTCTAGGTAGCAATAGAATAATAGACTTTAAAGTCCCATTTTATATACTTATTGACGTTTATTATTACTACTAGTTTTTCATATAAAAAAGAACTCATAGCTCGTAGTACTCTGGGTCTGTTTGGTTATCAAAATTTGTAAAAATATATATATATATATTTTTTGTTTATATTATAAATGCAATTTTGAATCATCTTTTTATGTTACGTACATCACATTATAAAAAAAAACTCTGGTATTATTTCAGATAAAATATATAAGGTTTACTTGTAAGTCTGATTGGATTTAACACAAAAAATCGACATTTGTTTTCCTTTTTATTGACCATTATCATGATAAAAACAATTATCTATGAAATGAAACTTGGTGACTTGAAGACATCTCGGCTCTTGGCTTGGTAAAAAAACTGAGAAGTTAGATTTTATACATTTTAGACATGAGTAGTATATGGCCAATGTTTGAGATAAGAGCACGAAAGGAAAACCACTATGTGGAGTTTTTGGATCCTAAGAAACTTGATGATGCAATAAAAGAAGTTATTTATTTGTGGGGGAAAGAGATGAATTGAATGGTACGGGAGAAGGGAGTGTAAATGGAAAGTTTCGAATTTGCACAAAAAAAAAATATTTTCTTTTATCCGAGTTAAACTTTATCAAGATAGTGAAATTTTGCATAAACTTCAGGTGCCATTTATGATTTCTTTCCAAGAACTGTAAAAAGAAAATTTTTTTATTTTTTTTATCCAAGTTAAACTTCATCGATCATAATGAAAATTTGCGTAAATTTAGAGTTGTAAATGAGTCAAGTGGAATCGAGTATCTCATATTTGAACTCTATTGGTTAAAATACTCGAATAAGACTCACGGTTGTTCAATAATATTGGAGCTCCAAATCTATGTTAGGTTCGGTTCATTAACTAAAATTCTAATTCGAATTCAAGTTCAAATTCATCTCATTTAACATAAACGAATTGTTCGCGAACAAGTTTTAGAAGTTCAAACCCAGATTCTTTCTCTCACAAATTTGATTCAATCTGCTTGTCTATAGCATTAACTATCAAGGAATATCATGTTTGAGACATACATAGGTTGGAAAGCCTGGAATAGGAATTAGGAATACAGTACGAACCCTAAATTTAGTGAAATGATAATTAAACCCATATTCGCAAACGATCGTTTAAATTTACGAACGAGCTCATATTTGTTCGATTACTTATCGAGTTAGAATATTTATTTAACTCGACTCATATAAAATTTCGAACCAACCATTATCGAACATGAAAGAGTCTAAACAAGTTTAGCTACCTAACAGCTCTGTTCATTTAACAGTACGACATAAACTTTAGGTGCCATTTATGATTTCTTTCCAAGAACTGTATGATATATAATTTATGTCCTCCAGTTTGCGACTTCATTGGATTTTGAATTTCTTTGTCTGCCAGCAAGGAGGAAGCAAACAATCCTGGACGCTACTTGCCTGTATGGACCCGACTTGGAGCTTAGGGCTTGGCAACAAATTAGAGGCAATTTGTTACAAGACGATCATAAAGTATATAGAGACAATTAAAGGAGGAAGACAAACGAGCAAAAATGACATCAGAATCAACACTCGTAGTTTGGTTGGTAAGAATCACTTCCTTTCGTTGTCAATATGAAGATTACATTGATAATAATTTTTAAGTACTTGTAAGGGACATTTTGTTTTGAAATATGCCTTGACACATACTCGAATCGGAGCAAAAATTACCTAAATTTTTTTTACCCAAAATAAAGGATGGCATGAGAATTAACTTTATACGAGAGTTCTGGGAAGGGGTGGGAGGGTTAAATAATAATAATAATAATAATAAAATCTCTTTCTGCAAGAGTTCCAGTAGGGCCTTTAACAATGGAAACAAGGAAGCATGATTTGTTGGATAGTTTATGGTTTTGGCAATTCACGACTTTACCACCGAAAGCATGAAGGCGTAATGACTAAAAACAAACTCGCGTTTTCAAGAGTTGGAATTGCTTTCTCTTAATCTGGTTAAACGTGCAACGTCTTCCTTCTGATAAACATTGATTTAATTATATGAAATCAATTGAGCAAAACTAGGTTACACCAAAATGTAATTCCAAATTTAGAACAAAATGCAAAACCATGACAGAGTCATCATGCATTCCACGAAGCTGATTCATGTTATGCATTGGCCACATTTCCGCTGCCATGGAGACACTGGTGGATTGGAAGATTCTCTAGCTTGAGCTCCTAATGACCGGATGATTTGATCTACTATTCAGTTCATAATCTGCTTACTCTGTGTTGCATTTTAAGCCGGTAACCAAACTGGATAATTCTTTCTACCCCCTTGATGGGGATTTGGTAAAGGGAGTTTGTAGCTAGCAGAGACAGCCTGGGCAGCCACCAAGCATCATAGAATAAAGCTTTTGCAATAAACAGAAAAATCCTCACTCCAAATGCAACAGAAATGACAGACCAGGAAATAATGATCAAGAACTTAGTACTCTTACTCAGCTCTGCTATGATCTGAATTGCATTGAGATAGCTGTAGGTTAGAAAAACTAGAGAAATGTGAAGACCTAATATATAAGGCCGACCTGGGAGCACCGAGAAAATTACCATAGTTGCAAAAACGAAAGCCACGGTATTGCCAGCTATGAACTCATTGAAATTGTGGTAGCTCATAACTACTTTTCCAGCCACTTGTTTCGCCTGGAATTGTTTTCGGAGATCATATACGTCAAGATTGGCTCTGTTATTAGCGGAATTGATTCTAGAGACTGTTTGATTGGTGATTTCTGCATTCCCTTGCCAAAATCCACCAGGAGGCTGGAGTATTCCCTGGAAAGCAGCTGTGACAATTAAAACTGCAACAACTAGTATAACATTGCGCATGTCGAAGGACATTTCCTTTTCCATGTAAATTAGTAGCCTGAGTGGTCTCTCAGCAAAACCCTCTCTCGATCTCAAAAACTGAGGAAGAACTTCCATTGGTGGGATGAGGGCTGCAGATCTGCCTCCACCGCGTTGCAAGATTTCTTTAATCTGAAGGTTTTGCTTTTGCACGGCGATGTCCAAAGCTGTTAAATTTTTTGAATTCAACGAATTTGTTTTGACTTTGTGAATTAACTTCTTCACAACCTGCGCTAGGAAAGATGTACCATTTCGGTTCTCTTCAAGAAAGCAAATTATGCCAGATTCATTTATAAAGCATTGAATATTGACAAGGGGTTTACAGCATCTGGGATGGGACAGGTACATAGAGTTGGCTGGTGCAATTGTTGTAGTTGTACTTTCCTTAAAATTTGATATTTCTCTTATAGACACGATCGATTGCACTCATGAAAGGAATTGGTGTGCACAAATAAAATTATACGAGTATACATGAGATTATGTATAAAATGCAACATGGCATGACCGTAACAAAACCGCAGCCTTGCCTGCCGAGAGTCCCTAACCTGTGTGCACAAAAAATGCCTGATGTAGATAGTAAGGTTGTCTGCATTTAACTAGCCTACCATACCCATATATTCCATTGCCTATTTTTAAAATCCTTTCGGATCCTATAATTTTAACTAATGAAATGACAGTCAATGCTATTCGATTTATATCATTGTATGGACAAGAAAGAGATACTAAGAGCTAAATAGTTAGATAATCGATAAAGGAAGAAACAAGGAGAATACCTCAGCCTGTTCAGTTTCAACTGCAATATGCAATGCAGTATTTCTGTGCTCATCCTTGAAACCGAGCACATCTTCCCTGTTCCTTCTCAACAGCCATCCCAGAAGGACGTCAAGTGCCTCGAGCTTTCTCTCTTTTACAGCAATATGGACTGCAGATTGGAACTTATTCGTCAAATCATCAATTGCATTTGGGCAAAGACACAGGAATTCAGCCAAAAGTTCCAAATTATTTTCTTTTACTGCATGATGCAGAGGAGTCATCCTTTCCCTCCCTTTTACTCGGATGAGCTCAGCGTCTAATTTTATTAAGGCTAGTGCAGTTTCATTTTTCCTCCTCCTCCTCTCTTCAGGTTCATCTGCTTCATCTATAATTGCCACATGAAGAGGGCTTAGCCCTTGAGGGTTCAGCTTCCTACCCAATGATGGCATCAATGTCATTAGTTCAATGGCAAAATCGACTTGGCCTGCTTTTGCAGCTTCGTGCAAAGGAGTGTGAACAAATTGGACTTTGTTGAAGCTGTCCAAAATTTCAGGATCCTTCTCAATGAGCTTATACAAGGCATCAATGTTTCCCTCTCCACTGGCAACCTTGAGAGCTTCCTCCATGAATTATTTCTCTCTTCCTAACTACTTCGGGCTTCTATAGATGTTGCTTAGCCTAATTTAAGTATGATAGATCAGTAGTATGGTTTAGAAAAAGCAGCAAAGTATAGGAAAGAAATAGTAGTGTTCCACAACTATTGCTAGTATCTAGTTCGTAATAGAATATTAAACTTGCTTGTGGGGGGGATAAAGACAATAATAAGCTGAAAAAGGTTGGCCGAATAAAATTACTCTGTCAAAGTCATAACTCATGGTCCATGGATCATGCCCTCACAAGTTGTGCTTTTTCCGAATCAAATCCGTTCATGTAATTTTTATAATTTTTGGAACTTGGACAACTTGAATGAAAACTTGGATTTGTCAACTCTTATAACTAAATTAGTGATTACACAATAAATGTATAATTTTACACCAAATGTAATAAAAATTACACAAATCAATCTGGATTGGATAGAATTCAACTTGTGCAAGCCCCTTATCCCTTGCTGCATAGGATTCAACTATGCCATAGGTGTCATTCTAGTACTATATTTTATATTCTCCCTTTTTTTTTTTTTAAGGAAATCATCGGTCATTTTCAACTACTTTTTTAAATTATATACATTACACCGTAAAAAAACTATTACAACACATGTCAAAAAGAAAGAAAAAGAAAAGAGAACATGTAAAACTTGAGACAACAAACTAGCTTATCAAATGCAGGGGCAGAGTATGATATAAGCTTGTCATTTCAGCAATTCCTTTTCTAACTGATCAGATATGTCTGCATCTCTTTGCTAAAGAGGCTTGCAAGGGAATCACAACACTTTGGAGCAAGACTTGAGGAATAAAGTTTAATTCGTCGTGGCTCATGTTTTGATCCTATCATGCAAACAACCGTTTGTGTAGCAGCTATGAGCAAGTATAATATGTGAAAACAGTGTTCCAAAATCAAAATACTAATGAGTCATTCGGCATTTACTTTTTAGTGATCCAAAATTCCAAATAATTGACTTTGAGTAGAATAGAGATAAATAAGACTCAAATTAAATCTTCCATACTAAATGAAGTACCATTTAGTGTTCTTATGGAAGTTTATTACTACTAGTTTTATGATGTCAAGATAACGTTAAAAACTACATTACTCTATGAATAATTATTTCCAAAGAGAAAAATTCGTAGAGTTGATTTTGTATATATCACGTTTACTGATATGATATGGTTAAGCATTCACCACGGGTGTAATATGAACTCATGATTTTTACTACTTGTGTAAAGCTGCTTGATTAGAAAAGAATTTACACTAATAAGGTATGGAAGATTTACTTTAAGTCTTATTAGAAAAGAATTTACTAAGAATTTACCCAAGAGATCACTTGTAAATTAAAGAAGTTACTTATTCCAACCCAAGTTAAACATTTTGCATAAACTTCAAGTATCATTCCACAAGTGTACATAGTGGATTTCTCATTTAAGTCCTCGGGTTTAATGATCTTAAGAAATATGAATTTGTTATATAAAAGGAAAAACAACACTCAAAAGTAAGATTAATAAAATAGTTTTTTGGATTCATGAATTTTACTTCAAAATTCAAGGGCGCAAATGAACATGAAACTTTTACTGCCACCGTCTTTAACTAAAGATGCAACGGTGTGATGACCAAAGGCTTAAAATTGAGCTAGATGAAAGCATTAGTGTTTTTCTTTTATTTGTATTTCTTCTTTTGGGGTACAAATTAAATCTATGTTCTCTTTTTTTTTTTCCCACCTCGCTCATATGTTACTAGTTTCCAAAATAGAAAGGTAATAATACAACATAAATATTTTCTTCTGACGCCAGAATGGTAACTAAAGATTGGACGTTATTTTAGTCTTTTTGTTTGACTTACACTAACATTTCCTTTTGACCACTATTTATAGGGGGCAAGTGATGATAAAATATTTCAAGGTGCCAAAATGAAACAAGCTTCATACCATAGGGGGCACAGTGTAATTAACCCTGATTGTAACAATAATAGTAAACCATCTCGTTTTAGAGTGTTATGAAAGCACTTTTGCTCGACTCATAATTTTCTTTTTATTTCTGTCATTCTTAATTTCTTTTATTCTCAATCAGGGTTTTTGGTGATTGGGAAACCATTCTTTAAGAAAAAATAGTAACCAACTTTTTCCAGCATTTTATTGATACAAATCAAGTCTGCAAATATTAATCCTATTTCTTATTTCACTTCTTAGCATTGTTACATTAATGATGACAAATCAACTGAAAGAGTGATCACACTCTCCTCTTATTTCATCAAGCAAATTAAGGGTTGTACATACCTAACCACCCACACATCCACTGGCTGGAGACACTGCTGGAATGGAAATTTTCTAACTTGAACTCATGATGGTACGATCAAATATCTACTATTTGTCCATCCAGTCCCTTTCTTCAGTTTCTAACCTGCTCACTTTATGGTGCAGCATAAGCCGATTAGCGAATCGATTAAGACTTTTAGCCACCGGGTTTGGAGGAATATGGTAGAAAGTATTTGTAGCTAGTACATACAACTTGGGCAGCCACCATGCATCATTGAATATTGACTTGGCAATGTGCATGTAAAATCTCAACACAAGTACACCACAAATGAATAACCCGGCAACAATGATGAGGGACTTAGTAAGCAAATTCTGGTCTGATATGACATCGACCGCACTGAGATAGGTGTACGTCAGAAAAAACAGAGAAATATGAAGACAATATATATAAGGCCGAGCAGGGAGTGCCCAGAAAATCACCACAGTTGCAAAAACGAAAGCCACAGTATTTCCTCCCATAAAGTTCCTGAAATTGCTGGAGCTCATGATAACTTTTCCAACCACATGTGTCGTATTGTGTTGTTTTCCAACCACATGGAATTTGGTGCTGTTACCAGATCGATTGAATGTCGAGACTTTTCTACTCGGTTCTCCATTCCCTTGCCAAAACCCACCAGGAGACTGGAGTGCTCCCTGGAAAGTAGCTGTGATAATTAAAACTGCTACAACTAAGATAATGTTGCGCATTTCCAGGGACATTTCCTTGTCCACGTAAATTAGGTATCCGATTGGTTTCTTTCTCAAAGGGACCCTGTTTTGATTTCAAAAACTCGTGGAGGGGTTCCTTCTCAGGGAGCGATTCTGCAGATCTACCTCCTCGATGTTCCAAGAACTCTTTTATGTGATCAAAGCCATTATGCTCTGCGATGTCCCGAGCCGTCAATCCTTTTGAATTCAGTGAATTCCTGTTGACTTTTGAAATTAACTTCTTCACAACCTGTACAAGGAAAAGTAATTTCATCTATTAGGCCTAATAGTCAAAGCCTTTTGCATCCAGTAATACTTTTACCTAATGAAATGAAGTCTCTACCCACCCTATTCAAATTAGATTGTAGTACTGCTAGATTTGAGTATACATATATTGCTAAATGTCACTCAGCTAAAGGGTTCTGAGGCTACTACAATGCATGAACATGTTTTCTGGTACGCACGTAATTTTAGTGGCTGCTGCATGATCGATTTTACATACTTGGATGCTATAGGAAAAAACAAGAAACACATATACCTCAAACTGTTCCGTTTCTACTGCAATATGCAGTGCAGTATTTCGATCATTGTCCTTGAAACGGAGCACCCCTTCTTTGTTCCTTCTCGAGAGCCATCCCAGGAGGACTTCAAGTGCATCGAACTTTCGCTCTTGTACAGCAATATGAACAGCAGACTGGTGCTTATTCGTCAAATCATTGATGGATTTCGGACAAGCACACAAGAACTCAGCCAAAAGTTCCAGTTTATTTTCTGTGACTGCATAATGCAAAGGAGTCATCCTTGCCCTCCCTTTTACTCGGACCAGCTCGGCGTCTAGCTTTATCAGCGCCATCGCAGTTTCGTTTTTCAGCGCCCTCTCTTCAGTGAGTTCATCTGCTTCTGACAATACTGCCAGATGAAGAGGGCTTAGCCCTTGAGGGTTCAGCTTCTTGGCCAATGACGGCATCAATGTCATCAGTTCAATGGCAAACTCAGTTTGCCCAGCTCCTGCAGCTTCGTGCAAAGGAGTGTGAACAACTTGGACTTTGTTGACGCTTTCCAAAATTTCAGGATCCTTCTCAATGAGCTTATACAACGCATCAACATTGCCCTCTCTACTAGCAGCGTTAAGATCTCTACGACCAGCGTTAAGAGCTTCCTCCATGAAAATTCCACTCTTTCTAAACATGGGCTTCTATATCTTGTCTAGAAAAAGAATGGCCAGAAATGGAATTATGACTAGGCTGTACGATAGTTTCAAATTAAGGAGCAGCAAAGTATAAACGTATAAAACTGGTGATATATGTTTGGAGACACGCTATACATTGATCAGAAGTTGTATATTTATAGTACTGTTCATAATAGAATATTACACAGGCGTGTGATATAGATAAAGATAAAGATAACGGTACGGATTGATAGAATAAAGCAATCACTTGCGGCGCATGCATGTTTTGTATGCTGTACGTAAGAGTCATCTGTTTTCGTTAAAAACCAAGCTTAGTACGTAAGTACCTTGTCTAGTAATTTGGAAATGAACTGAAAAACTCCATAAGAAGGGCTTATCTTTTCTACGACGATCAAATGTGGTTCTTATTGTCAATTTTATTCAAATAATGATATGAGCTTTTTTTAATTATGAATATTTTTAATGATTCCTTAGAAGTTAAATGGACTCTTTGATTGAGGTCTTACTAAAACTTCTTTAGAAACAACTTCTATAATTGAATCAATTCCATACTGGTTTTCAGCTAGAGGAATGTTATGCTAAAACTTGGTTTGAAACGATGTGGATTGCTATTTTTTAGAGTTTCACAGGAAAAATAATTTGATGTATGTCAAATGAAAAAAGTAATTGAAAAATATATTCATGAAAAATGTAAAAATTTTTTGTTAAAAAACTATAATCCAAACAGAGCAGCACGAGGTAATTGGGTCCATCATGCGAAAGATATTAGTATCAAAGTATTGGTTTTCATTTTGTTTGTCGTGTCATAGTTTTGGTGAAAGATTTTATCATAGTTTTGGTTTTCATTATTGTTACTGTTCCTGTCATGCCATGCAAATTGCCATTTCTTTTTTAGCAGCTATGAGCAATTCTGATATGTCAAAACGTCGCTCGCAATGCTAATTATAGATAAACTAAATGAGGCGTAACTTTCTCTAAAACTGGTTTACTAATGAACAGTTTACCAGATGGAGCGGTTTAATTACCTTTTTATGGCTTTATTCCCGCAAAAGTCGAGTGATTGACTTTGAGTGGAACACCAGTTAAGTAATATATACCGACAAAAGTCGAGCGATTGACTTTGAGTGGAACACAGTTAAATAATATATACGAATCTTGGAACAGCAGGATCGAATAGTTGAAGCAGATTAAGAGAAAGCGTACTTTATGCAAACATAATATTAGACTCATTTAATAATTGAGTTGAATACAAACTTGCTCACGAGTTATTTGAATACTTCGTGAATATATACATATATAATTATAAAAATATAAATACATTTAATATTATTAAATATATATATTATATTTTACTAAAAGAGTAATTATACATAAAATATATAGTAGTATTATTTATTTTCTTAAAACCAAGAAATACAATTAATCTTATTCTAAATAATGTACTACTCCTTCCGTCCTAGAAAGTACATTGCATTTCGGGACTTGCAATTATTATCAATAGTGCAAACTTTTAAATGATTCGGATTTAAGTTCCGGTAATACGCTGCTTAACATTCAATAATGTATTCATATGTGGTTGAATGATAAAAAGGTCACTAGTTGTGATAAGACATGTGGGACCCAAAAGAATGAAATGTCTCCCGACTGCTTTAGAGGGAAGTGTCATGTACCATTGTTATTTGCATTTCATGTGGGAGTCATGCACTATTAAGTGCAATGTTTGTACTTGGTAAGTGCATGATTGAGCCCCCTAAAAGATTAAAAAGAGTGGGCACATTAAAGGGTATGAAACAGAAATGTGTGAAAGTTTTCATTGCTAATTTTGGTAAGTGACAATCATTCTGGAACAGATAAAAAAGGGAAAAAAAAAGTACAACACTTTAATAGGACGAGGGAGTATTATTTATTAAAAATTATAATTAAGTCATCTCCAAACTCAAATTCAAGCTTGAGTTTGAGGTTGAGGTCGAATTCGACTCGTTTAGTTGAACAAGCTCAGTTCAAACTCGAATTCACATATTTATACAAATAAATAAATTGAATTTGAATAACACTTGAAATTCATCTAATATTCAAGTCAAATTCGAACCTTATTCGTATAATATACAAATAGAGTCTAAACACTAAATATTCGGCTCCATTTGACTCGTTAAAAGCTCTAGCTTCAAAGCCTATCAATCTACAAGCAATGGAAATTTACAAGAAAAACTTAAAAGCAAGACATTTGTAACACAAAGCATAGGCCACATTCAAAATGCAACATGAGATTATGTACAAAATGCAACATGGCATGTCCGTAACAAAACCGCAGCTTTGCCTGCCGAGAGTCCCTAACCTGTGTGCACAAAAAATGCCTGGTGCAGATAGTAAGGTTGTCTGCATTTAACTAGCCTACCATACCCATATATTCTATTACCTATTTTTAAAATCCTTTCGTATCCTATAATTTTATCTAATGAAATGACATTCAATACTATTCGATTTATATCACTGTGATGTGGTGAACCTATATATATGGGCAAGAAAGAGATACTAAGAGCTAAATAATTAGATAATCGATAAAGGAAGAAACAAGAAGAATACCTCAGCCTGTTCAGTTTCAACTGCAATATACAATGCAGTATTTCTGTGCTCATCCTTGAAACCGAACACATCTTCCCTGTTCCTTCTCAACAGCCATCCCAGAAGGACGTCAAGTGCCTCGAGCTTTCTCTCTTTTACAGCAATTGGAACTTATTCGTCAAATCATCAATTGCATTTGGGCAAACACTCAGGAATTCAGCTAAAAGTTCCAAATTATTTTCTTTTACTGCATGATGCAGAGGAGTCATCCTTTCCCTCCCTTTTACTCGGATGAGCTCAGCGTCTAATTTTATTAAGGCTAGTGCAGTTTCATTTTTCCTTCTCCTCCTCTCTTCAGGTTCTTCTGCTTCATCTATAACTGCCACATGAAGCCGGTACATGACTGGAACAATGGGATCAATACAATACCAATCCCCGAATCGCACATTTAACTATATCCGAGATGACTCGTAATAACTCGGCCGATATCGTTTGAGTTGTGACGGTTTTGCTATGTATCGTTGAGAAATCGGCGAGTCAGATTGAGTTGTATTGAAAATGGAACCAAAAAAATTTTTGGCTGTAGAGGGACAAAAGCTGCAGCTAACAGGGAGATGAAGAAATGAGAGAAGAGTAGTTCTATTGTGAGAGTTAATGTGGGCGTATGTAAAAGAGAGAGGGTAAAAAAAGAATAAAAAGGGAAGAGACCACCGGCCTTTGTGGTGGTTGGCAATGGTTATGGAGGAAATAAATAGAAACAACAACAATGGTAGTAGTATGAGGAGTGACGTTGAGGAAGAAGAAAAGAAAAGAAAAAGAGTTATAAGTTGCTCCTCAATTGATAGGTTGCAATTTTATCATTTATTTTATTATTAATTTTTTCTATTATCCGACCTGATATGGACTAATTATTAGATTCTACTCACTTTTCATAATTTACATTTATTTCAGGAAGTAGAACAAAAATATCACAATCGACAGTCATCGAAAAAGAATTCAAATAGAAGGTCTTCAGGGATATTTTTTAAACAAAGAGATACAAGTCCTTTTTGATAATTTGTGGAAGATAGAATAAAAGGAGGAAAGAAATGAAGGGCTGAGTCGGCTTCTTCTTCTTCAGGCAGCGGACGCCGCACAGTAGGAGTAGGTAGTCTTAGATAGGAATTAGACAGCACTACCTTTAGTTTTAGAGCTTTTGACTTTACTTTCTTTTAGCTCTTAGTAGTTTCTTGTTTTCCTTCGTATGTCAGACAAGAGTAAAAGCAATCAATCAATTCCTATAGCTTGCTTTTCTTATTAGAGCGAATTGAATTTGTCCAATTCATGGATACGAAAGCCGCAACTATTGCCGCAATTTTGCGTGGGTTTTGTTTATCAAGAATGAACTAATTTCCATTGTCTAGTCAAGGACAACGGAGGCTTTGGATAGGCTAAAATTGTAAGATCGATATAATTTTATCTTTTTCTTTTATTTATTGGTATTCGCATATTCCTTGATTGTAGTGTTTATGATTATTTAATTAATTGATTGTCTTGGATCTAGAAAATTAGTTAATTTGGTAATCTATTGTCAATTAGGACATTAAATTCGTAATTGTTTAATTGCCTTGAAATAGTGACAGCTCGCATGATTGGGTTTGTGTCAGGGGGATATGCGGGCTAATCTGAAATAACCCTGGTAGTGTGTTATTTGGTTAGAATAAGGCTCCTCTAATACGTAAGGCAATTGGAAAATTAAATCTTACGGGCGTACCTAGGATTATTTCTCAATTAGAGTAATGATTAACGGGCGTACCTTAATCACCGACACAGTAAGGAGGGGTTCACTGTCATCGCTTGTTTGGTAGTTATAACCTATTTATTAGTAAATAATTGGAATTGGCTTTGCATCGATGATCAATTAGGTGAACCATTACTGAAGTTATTTCTCGGCTAGACTCTTAATTATCACTCATTTTATTTTAGTAATTTGTTATTTAATTTTTAGTAGGTTCTTAGATTTTATTTGAATTTCTTTGATTGTCACCTTCTGCACAAAAACACCCCCTTTGTTACTGTGAATTTGAAAAGAAACAGTTACACCCAATCCCTATGGATTCGACCCTACTTACCACTATTTACAAAAATTGATTTCAGTTGAGCATGTTTTTATTATTGCACAGCCTGACAACCTGTCATCAATCTTTTTAAAATTATGAATCTGCCCCAAAAGTTCCTTAAACTATATTACAACGTAGGTATATTTTTTATGATCACTTTTTCCTCCTGTCAATTTCATCCTTGCTAACTAGATTCATCTTAAACTCTACATTTGGTGTTTTATTTAATGCTAATTTGTTAATGATAATTGGGGTACAAGGTGCTTTTGCTACTATAATTATTACTTTTAATGCTACGAGACCATGGCTACACTAGCATCATTTTTTCTCAATATTAGTTTGTATATATATGATAATATGGATATTCATCAAATCTAATTTGATAATTGTGCTTGTTACGTTATTTTCTATTTTTTAAATAATTTTGCTAGTTTTTTTGAAAATTTTATGTACTATAACGTGCGTATCACTTGATATATGACCGATATACCGTGACGGATGTGGAACAACCACGATCGCAATGTGACCAGGACCCGCGATGGCGAACCAAGCCTTGAAGGTTCAGCTTCCTGCCAAATGATGGCATCAATGTCATTAGTTCAATGGCAAATCGACTTGGCCTGCTTTTGCAGCTTCGTGGAAAGGAGTGTGAACAAATTGGACTTTGTTGAAGCTGTCCAAAATTTCAGGATCCTTCTCAATGAGCTTATACAAGGCATCAATGTTTCCCTCTCCACTGGCAGCCTTGAGAGCTTCCTCCATGAATTATTTCTCTCTTCCTAACTACTTCGGGCTTCTATAGATGTTGCTTAGCCTAATTTAAGTATGATAGATCAGTAGTATGGTTTAGAAAAAGCAGCAAAGTATAGGAAAGAAATAGTAGTGTTCCACAACTATTGCTAGTATCTGGTTCGTAATAGAATATTAAACTTGCTTGTGGGAGGGATAAAGACAATAATAGAGCTGTAAAAGGTTGGCCGATTAAAATTACTTTGTCAAAGTCATAACTCATGGTCCATGGATCATGCCCTCACAAGTTGAGTTTTTCCCAATCAAATCCGTTCATGTAATTCTTTTATAATTTTTGGAACTTGGACAACTTTGAATGAAAACTTGGATTTGTCAACTCTTATAACTAAATTAGTGATTACCCAATAAATGTATAATTTTACACCAAATGTAATAAAAATTACACAAATCAATCATGTCATAGGTGTCATTCTAGCACTATATTTTATATTCTCCCTTCTTTTCTTTTTTTTTTGGAAATCATCGGTCATTTTCAACAACTTTTTAAAATTATATACATTACACCATAAAAAAACTATTACAACACACGTCAAAAAGAAAGAAAAAGAAAAGAGAACTTGTAAAACTTGAGACAACAAACTAGATTATCAAATGCAGGGGCAGAGTATGATATAAGCTTGTCATTTCAGCAATTCCTTTTCTAACTGATCAGATATGTCTGCATCTCTTTGCTAAAGAGGCTTGCAAGGGAATCACAATACTTTGGAGCAAGATTTGAGGAATAAAGTTTAATTCGTCGTGGCTCATGTTTTGATCCAATCATGCAAAAATACTATGTTCTTTTTTTTTTCCCACCTAGCTCATATGTTACTAGTTTCTCAAATAGAAAGGTAATAATACAACATAAATATTTTCCTTTGACTCCAGAATGGTAACATAATATTCAACTAAAGATTGGAGGTTATTTTAGTCTTGTTGTTTGACTTACACTAACATTTCCTTTTGACCACTCGCTATAGGGGGCAAGTGATGATAAAATTTTTCAAGGTGCCAAAATGAAACAAGTTTCATACTACAGGGGGCACAGTGTAATTAACCCTGATTGTAACAATAATAGTAAACTATACTCGTTTTAGAGTGTTATAATTGCACTTTTGCTCAAGTCATAATTTTCTTTTTCTTTCTGTCATTCTTAATTTCTTTTATTCTCAATCTTGTTTTAGAGTGTTAACACCAACTCTTTTTCCAGCATTTTATTGATATAGAAGAGGATACAAATCAAGTCTGCAAATACAATCCATATATTAATCCTATTTCTTATTTCACTTCTTAGCATTGTTACATTAATGATGACAAATCAACTAAAAGAGTGATCGCACTCTCCTCTTATTTCATCAAGCAAATTAAGGGTTGTACATACCAAACTACCCACACATCCACTGGCTGGAGACACTGCTGGAATGGAAATTTTCGAACTTGGAACTCATGATGTTACGATCAAATATCCACTCTTTGTCCATCCCCTGGTTCACTGGTTGCCATCTCAGTCAATTACTTCAGTTCTAATCCGCTCACTTTACGGCGCATCATAAGCCGATTAGCGAAATGACTAAGACTTCTAGCCACCGGGTTTGGAGGAACATGGTAGAAAATTTTTGTAGCTAGTACATACAACCAGGGCAGCCACCATGCATCATTGAATATTGACTTGGCAATGTGCATGTAAAATCTCAACGTAAGTACACCACAAATGAATAACCAGGCAACAATGATGAAGCACTTAGTAAGCAAAGTGTGGCCTGCTATGATGTCGACCGCAGTGAGATAGGTGTAGGTCAGAAAAAGCAGAGAAAGATGAAGACTATATATATAAGACCGAGCAGGGAGTACCAATAAAATCAGCACAGTTGCAGAAACGAAAGCCACAGTATTTCCTCCCATAAAGGCCCTGAAATTTCTGGGGCTCATGACAACTTGTCCAACCACACGTGTCATATTGTGTTGTTGTTTTCGAAAATTATGTAGGCCGAATTTGGCACTGTTATTAGATCGATTGAATGTCGAGACTTTTTGACTCGTGCCTCCATCCCCTTGCCAAAACGCACCTGGAGGCTGGAGTGCTGCCTGGAAAGTAGCTGTGACAATTAACACTGCTACAACTAAGATAAAGCTGCGCATTTCCAGGGACATTTCCTTGTCCACGTAAATTAGGAATCCGATTGGTCTCTCAAAGTAACCCTGTTTTAATTTCAGAAACTCGTGGAGGGCTTCCTTCTCAGGGAGCGTATTTTTAGATCTACCTCCTCGATGTTTCAAGAACTCTTTTATGTTATCAGAGCCATTATGATGTGCGATGTCCCAAGCCGTCCATCCTTTTGAATTCAGTGAATTTATTTTGACTTTTGAAATTAACTTCTTCACAACCTGTACAAGGAAAAGTAATTTCATCTATTAGGCCTAATAACGTTATATAAACAGAAGCCGATAATACCAGCCTATGACCATAGCTATGTATTTTGTCCCCGCATAGTCAAAGCCTTTTGCATCCAGTAATATTTTTACCTAATGAAATGAGGTCTCTACCCACCCTATTCAAATTAGATTGCAGTACTGTTGGAATTGAGTATACATATATTGCTAAATGCTACTCAGCTAAAGGGTTCTGAGGCTGCTACAATACATGAACATGTTTTCTGGTAGGCACATAATTTTAGTGGTTGCTGCATGATCGATTTTACATACTTGGATGCTATAGGAAAAAACAAGAAACATGTATACCTCAAACTGTTCCGTTGCTACTGCAATATGCAATGCAGTATTTCCATCACTGTCCTTGAAACGGAGCACCTCTTCTTTGTTCCTTCTCGAGAGCCATCCCAGGAGGACTTTAAATGCATCGAACTTTCGCTGTTGTACAGCAATATGAACAGCAGACTGGTGCTCATTCGTCAAATCACTGATGGATTTCGGACAAGCACACAAGAACTCAGCCAAAAGTTCCAGATTATTTTCTCTGACTGCATAATGCAAAGGAGTCATCATTTCCCTCCCTTTTACTCGGACCAGCTCGGCGTCTAGCTTTATCAGCGCCATCGCAGTTTTGTTTTTCCTGGCCCTTTCTTCAGCGAGTTCATGTGCTTCTGACATTACTGCCAGATGAAGAGGGCTTAGCCCTTGAGGGTTCAGCTGCTTGGCAAATGACGGCATCAATGCCATCAGTTCAATGGCAAACTTAGTTTGCCCCGCTCTTGCAGCTTCGTGCAAAGGGCTGCTCAAGAAATCAGGAGCCTGCTGAATCAGATCATACAAGGCATCAACGTTGCCCTCTCTACTAGCAGTGTTAAGAGCTTCTCCGCGAGCAGCGTTAAGAGCTTCCTCCATGAATATTCCACTCTTTCTAAATATGGGCTTCTATATCTTGTCTAGAAAAAGAATGGCCAGATATGGAATTATGACTAGGCTGTAGTACAATAGTTTCAAATTAAGGAGCAGCAAAGTATACTTATAAAACTGGTGATATCTGTTTGGAGACGCTCTATACATTGATTAGAAGTTGTATATTTATAGTACCTGTTCATAATAGAATATTACACATGCGTGTGATATGGATAAAGATAAAGATAACGGTACGGATTGATAGAATAAAGCAATCACTTGCGGCGCATGCATGTTTTGTATGCTGTACGTAAGAGTCATCTGTTTTCATTAAAAACCAAGCTTAGTACGTAAGTACCTTGTCTAGTAATTTGGAAATGAACTGAAAAACTCCATATGAAGGACTTATCTTTTCTACTATGATCAAATGTGGTACTTATTGTCAATTTTATTCAAATAATGATTGAGCTTTTTTTAAATTATGAATGTTTTTTAACATTATGAATATTTTTAATGATTCCTTAGAAGTTAAATGGACTCTTTGATAGAGGTCTTACTAAAACTTCTTTAGAAAAATCTTTATTGATCTATATCTATCTATAAAAAGAGCATAAAGTACGAGGTACATGTGCACTAATTGAAACAATGATTATTCATGATTTCTATAATTCAATCAATTTCATACCGGTTTCAAACTAGAGAAATGTTATGCTAAAACTTCGTTTGAAACGATGTGGATTGCTATTTTTCAGAGTTTCGTAGGAAAAAAAAATACCATTATGACAATTTGATGTATGTGAAATAAAAAAAAAATAATTGAAAAATATATTTATGAAAAATGTAAAAATTTTTTGATAGAAAACTATAATCCAAACATAGCAGCACGAGGTAATTGGGACCATCATGCGAAAGATATTAGTATCAAAGTTTTGGTTTTCATTTTTGTTGGTCGTGCCATAGTTTTGGTTTTCATTGTTACTGTTCCTGTCATGCCATGCAAATTGCCATTGCTTTTTTAGCAGCTATGAGCAATTCTGATATGTCAAAACGTTTGCTCGCAATGCTAATTATCTAATTTTTTGCGCAAGATAAACTACATGAGGCGTAACTTTCTCTAAAACTGGTTTACTAATGAGCAATTTACCAGACGGAGTGGTTTAGTCACCTTTTTATGGCTTGTTCGGAACACATACTTTATTCCGACAAAAGTCGAGTAATTGACTTTGAGTGGAACACAGTTAAGTAATATATACGAATCTTGGAACTGCAGGATCGAATAGTTGAAGCAGATTAAGAGAAAGCGTACTTTATGTATCTTCATGCCATTTGGATACATTTTTGTTTTTAACACAATTTCATGAGTTTCTTATTGAGGACTTTTGTCGTAAAATGTCGTCATTTGTTTGAAAATATTATCATTACATACAACCCTCAAATTTGAGCAAGTACATGGGTTGGGGAAGAGAATTTAAGGCAAGCTAGCAACGTTAGAAATGTACATGGCTTCAATTTGAGCTTTCAACAAATAGAGCTATTCACGAAGATGTTGATATTCGATTAGTTCGAATTTTTTTTGAAAAATAGGTTGATCGTTTAACAAACGAATGGAATGCAAACATAATATTAGACTCATTTAATAGTTGAGTTGAATACAAATTTGCTCATGAGTTATTTGAATAGTTCGTGAATACATATATAATTATAAAAATATAAATACATTTAATATTATTATATATATATATATATTATATTTTACTAAAACAAGTAATTATACATAAAATATATAGTAGTATTACTTATTTTCTTAAAACCAAGAAATACAATTAAGCTTATTCTAAATAATGTACTACTCCTTCCGTCCGAGAAAGTACATTGTCTCAGTCTTTATTGTCACATGCCTCTTTGTACTTCTCTCGTTTCCCTCCCTCCAAAAAAACTCAACCAAAGTTTTTGTTTTGCTGAAATTCTCTTCTGTGAAATATTAACGGTCAAATACCATCAAATTTCACACTAAAACCCATCTCTTAGGTCTTAAGTAGTAATGATGCATTTTGTGTTTCTGGTTGTTTTGATTAGTGTGTGAGTGCGTGTAATTTTTGGATGATTGGCTGTGCATTTTTTGAGCCTAACGGCTCTTTTCTCTTCCTATGCTCCTTCCCTCTGTATGTAGTTTTGGGATCGAGTCAGTATTGCATTTCGGGACTTGCAATTATTATCAATAGTGCAAACTTTTAAATGATTCGGATTTAAGTTCCGGTAATACGCTGCTTAACATTCAATAATGTATTCATATGTGGTTGAATGATAAAAAGGTCACTAGTTGTGATAAGACATGTGGGACCCAAAAGAATGAAATGTCTCCTACTTTAGAGGGAAGTGTTATGTACGATTGTTATTTGCATTTCATGTGGGAGTTATGTACTGTTAAGTGCAATGTTTGTACTTGGTAAGTGCATGATTGAGCCCTTTAAAAGATTAAAAAGAGTGGGCACATTAAAGGTATGAAACAAAAATGTGTGAAAGTTTTCGTTGCCAAATTTGGTAAGTGACAATCATTTTGAAACAGATAAAAAAGGAAAAAAAAAAAGTACAACACTTTAAATTGGACAAGGGAGTATTATTTATTAAAAATTATAATTAAGTCATCTCCAAACTCAAATTCAAGCTTGAGTTTGAGGTTGAGGTCGAATTTGACTCGTTTAGTTGAACAAGCTCAGTTCAAACTCGAATTCACATATTTATATAAATAAATAATCGAATTCAAATAACACTTGAAATTCGTCTAATATTCAAGTCAAATTCGAACCTTATTCATATAATATACAAATAGAGTCTAAACACTAAATTCGGTTCAATTTGACTCATTAAAAGCTCTAGCTTCAATGCCTATCAATCTACAAGCAGTGGAAATTTACAAGAAAAACTTAAGAGCAAGACATTTGTAACACAAAGCATAGGCCACATTCATGACTATCTATTACTAATTTACTAGTAATATTTTGCATGCTCAAGAAAAAGAATAATGTCAAATTAAAAGTCTTGTGAGTTAATATTTTTATCTTTGAAAGTTACGCGAGCAAAAAAAAAAAAGGCATTAAAAATTGCTAAAATAGTACCTTTGAACCTTTTTCTCACCAGGTTCCAGTTTCTTCCTAAATGATTTAAACATTATATGTTGAAAACATTAGATTAAATAGGCCAAAATTTATATATACACACACACATATATACGGACACACACATATATACTTTTTGGAGGGCTAAGTTTAAATTTCTTACTTTTTTAGAGGCTTAATTGAAAAGTCTGACTACTTTGAAAGGCCAAAAAGCGCAACTGGGCCATTAATCGGGGCAGATATCATATAGGGTAACGACCCACCCGAATTAATTGCCAAATCGGGCCATAATATGCCCAAATGTAGACTTCCACATCTTTGCTTCCCTCTTTCGCAGCTGCTACTGCTATGGAGGTCGCTACCATGGCTTCTCATTCGTTCCCGCTCGCAAGATTGAAGCTATCGCAAACGTGCTCTTCACGCGCTCCAACTTCTTCTTCCTCTTGTCTTACTAAACCCTCTCTTCCATCTACTCCCTTTCTCTCCTCTTCCTCTATCGGCGGCTCTAGGGGTGAGCAGCGAATTCGAATTCGGTAATTCGGTAACTTGAAATCGGTAATTTTTGGTAAATGGTTCTGGAAATATTCGACCTAATTCGCATTCGAATTAGAGACTACCGAATTCGAATTCAACCCGAATTCAATTCGGTAAACAAAAAAAATACCGAATTACCGAATTCAGAAAACTGCTTCTTCGGCCCATTTTTCATCAGCAAATAGCAATGCTATTGAACTGAGCCACAACTTACAAATTGTTCGAATGTAACTGATCACAAATCACTCCAGAAATTCGAAATCAAAACAACACACAATTCACATTGATCATTAAAATTCAGAAATCATAAACAAATCCACAAACAAATTACACTGATCCACAAACAAATCACAAATGACAAACAAATCCAGACATCACAAATCACAAGTCCAGAAATCACACTGTTGCCCTGGTGCTACAAATCAGAAATTCCACTGATCCACAATCATAAATCAATCTAGAAATCATAATGAAACAAAAATAAAAGTCTAAATTAACTTGTCCAAAAATCACAATCCACATTCCACAATCTAGAAAGCCACAAAGCCACAAACTGCAATCCACAATCCAGAAACTGCAATTCAGAAACTGCAACTTCAGCCACAAGAAGAGTTGCAATACAGAAACTCCAATCCACAATCCAGAATCCAGAAACTGCAATCCACAATCCAGAATCCAGAAAGCCACAAGAAGAGTTGCAATACAGAAAGCCAATTACGCTGAAACTGCAACTTGCAACAAGAGTTGGTTCAACCCTCAAAATGCAAACTTCAGCATTTGTGACCTCTCAAAGGTCAATTATAGTTGGTTCAGCTCCAGTCTTCAGCAACTCTGCAAGAACAAATAAAATTCATAAAGTATCATAAAGACAATTATTAGAAAGAAAGAAATACTTCAAATTCTGCAATAAAAATTTTGATAGCTTACCAGATTCGAAGGCTTCAAGCTCTTCCAGATTTTCTTCTACATTTAATTCTGTCTTGGAGGACCGAAGCCAATCTTGAGCACATATTAAACCTTGCACAATTCTAGGAGTCAAAGAACTCCTAAATGTATCAAGAACACGACCTCCGGTACTAAAAGCAGATTCGGAGGCCACGGTAGAAATTGGGACTGCTAACACATCACGAGCAACTTTGGAAAGGATTGGGAATCTAAGGCTATTGGTCTTCCACCATAACAAGATATCAAATCTCTCATCATCTTCCTCACAATCCTCATTCAAATACTTCTCTAATTCAGATTTTGCATCCCTACCCCCAAGTTCCATTTTTCTCTTCTTAAACTCCAACTTGTACCTATCAGTGATTGTTTTAGAGGCATTCCCATGTCCATGAAATGTAATTTTACTCGTTGGAGAATCACTTGAAAGTGAAGAAGCATGAGAGGCGGGTGTGTTGAGCATCTTGTATTCATTAAACAGCTCAAACATTGCATCTTTTGCAAGGCCAGCTATTGTTGTACCATCGGACTCACCATACATTTGACAAACCACAAATTCAAGGTATTCAAGT